CTGGTCGACCTTCAGCGGTTTCTTGCGTGCGACATGGTACTCAAAAAGCGCCGTTTGACAAACCCTGATGTGTGCAACGAGTTGAAGATCGTGGTGGCTAACAGCAAAACCTACACTCCTCGGACGAACCTTCTGTTCAGATCCAACACCCGGTTGAGGAGCGTGGGATGTGAGAAGTACATCAGGGGTAGGAGGCAAATCAAAGTTATTTTATATTACTGCTACTATTACTAGTTACTATACTGAATATACTGTTTTACTAACTGTATATTTTCCTTCTATAGTCTATGGTGCAGGTTCCGGTTCTCGCTATTGGTTCGTTGCAGAGAAACTGATTGAAATGGCCACAGTTAGCAACCACATTCTTGCAGGAACCTGTGGAGCACCGTGGTTGACACCGGCAAGCAGCAGTTGGACCTCCAAGCAGCTGCATCATTGGGCCTAACATTGGCTACCTCCTTTGAACGGCTGCAGCAGTTCCTGATTGACCACGAAAGTGGGAAGGACATTCCAATTGACAAGTTGCAGCTCTTGACTGACAAGTGCAAGCAGGCTACCCCTGTGCACCTTGCGTTGGCGGAATCCAGTGAGCATGCAGAGCTTGCGACAACTATCAAGTCTTCCCTTGACACATTGTCCAATTCTCTCAGGGAGAAGAACTGGGCGAACGCTGTGGACCTGGGTCCCTTTCTGGATTCTTTGTTCCTACAGTGTGGAGCGCTCTGTTTGAAGTTTGAGGACGCTGATTCCGACAAGATGAGACAAGTCATTGCTGCAGGTGCGGGAACGGATCTAATAGGCAACCCAAACCAATATGCCCCCTCTGGATTTCTGAGTTTTTCTTACATTTACATTATGATTATGTACAAATCATTTCAAATCATTTCATTTCTTATCTTAACCCCTGCCCCCTGTCCCTCACAGGTGAAATTGCAAGCCGTGTGCTACAGGACGACGTGGCAGTGAAGATGTCAGAGGGCTCGATTGTGACTTTGCTGCTGGAATTTGCAGCTTCGTGGGTTGAGGAGGATCCCGAGACCAATGTCCTAGAGAAATCTTGTGGCCTATTCTCAGACCTGCAAAAGCAGATCCACTCAGATGCGATCAAATCTGCACCATGGCTCAAGTCTGCCCTTGCTCTTTTGAAGCGCTTTGAGAAGTCAATTGCTTCTTTTGGCAAGGGATGGGCCATCCGGCAATGGAAGAGCAGCGGCCCCGAAGAGATCTCTACTGTGCTTGGAAGTTGTAAGCACGTTCCTCCTGAGCTTCAGGGTGTCTTGCTATGTGCCAAGAATGCCTCTTTGTTCAAGAACTTGCCGCCTGTGCAGGAGGACTCGAAGGACCTGCAGCTCATCCTGAAGGCGGTGAAGAAGGGTTTGACGATTGCCTCGCTTGACATGGACGTTCTGGCAAATTTCCTTGTCCAAGAGGACCTTGACAAAGTGGAGGGGTACAAGAAGTCCATCATGACGGCTTTGGACAACTCAGTCAAACGCATTGAGACGGACAAAGAAAAGGCCTTTCCACTTTTTGAAAAGTACAGGCGTGACATGGGGGTGTCGGTGTCACATGGTTCTTTTCATCCCGGAATCCTGGATCCCAGCTTCGTAGTACTGAGTACTGGGTACTTTGTGGCTTCACAAACTTTGGAACTGACTACTCCCAACGGCTTCTGACATTCATTTGGATTAAGCAATTTGAACAAGTAGTAAGTAGTAGACAAAGACTGAGGCCAACATTCATTCAGAGTCTGATTCATTTTTTGTGTGTGCAGTGTGTTGGAAAAACTTGTGTTGGAGTGGGATGTGGATTGAACAGTTTTGGCGTGACCTGATCCGGAAGCGTGAAGGCCTATCCTGTTGGCTGTGAAGACTTGGAATATGGATGGTGTCTTGTGGATGTTTGAGGGGCACGATTCCATAGACCAGGAGGTGACGTTCTTGGTTGAATGGCGTGGGCTTTCGGGCGACCAGGAAGAGTTCCTGCGCGGCGTCCAGAACTTTCAGAAGTTTGATGGCTGGACTCAGGATCCACTTCGCCAGAAGGTCATCAGCTTGCACAAGTCGCTCCAGGACTTGGACTGCATGCAACCCATATGCTGATCATAGAGAGGCACACAGCACACAACAGTACTGACAGGACAGTACCAGTACACACGTGTAGTCGTGTAGTTGTCTTTGCGCACTGTAGATGGTAGATAGCACACACTGACAACTTACAACTTACCCATTGGATAGAGTGATTCAGTGATTCGTGATTCATGATCTTTATATTGTTGTCGTCTCGTCTCATATGTTGATTACGAACGAATCATCTACAGTCTATGGAATACAAATCTCATTTACAGTATTCATTGTTCATTGCAAGGATGGTCGCCCAATCTGACGTCCCCCTATGGCCCGAAACTACTATACTCCCAGGCCCACTCCCTTGATTTTTTCTCATGTTTCAAGTTTCTCATTGTTCAAGGTTAAGATTCCGGATGCGCTGGAGTTGAAATGCAAATCATAAACACACAGGGGGTGATCAGACAGGGTTTGCTTTTTGTACCAGGAGATGCGCCAGTTGACGGGTGAGATCACAGCTTCAATCTTGACCTCCGAGGTGATCATCAATGAGAAGAATTACCCTGACAAACTGGCAACAGTTAGGAAGTGTTGTTCCCAATTGGCCAAGACACTGGGAATGACACGTGCTGATCTGTGCGAGAACATTCAGGTGAGGCTCAACGCCTACCTCAAGGGTTCAGATGAACCGAACCTTGCTCTTTGTGAGTTTCATTAAAATATGTGACTTTTCATTGTCTTGTGAATTCCTGCTGGGTCTTTTTGTTTTGAGTAGTTGGAGGTACAGATCATGGTCCAGGTTGAGAGTTTGAGGGATGGGGTCACTTGTGCACTCCTCAGGACAGAGCCCGAAGCAGCTCCGAAGAAGAGGGCACGGGCGGGCAAGACAGCTGAGAAAAAGGCTCCGAAGCCAAAGGCCAAGAAGTGATTTGGATCTGAGCGCAGTAGAGCCACTGTCATTTTGCTGAGACAGTGCCAGTTACAGTTTTGCTCAAAACTGTTTTTCAATTCAGTTCAACTCCCTGAAAGATGGCAAGTTGACCCGTTGTTGCTGCCTTGTTGGCGTGTGAGATTGCCAGCTGAGCTAGGGGAAGGCTTGGCTTTTAGACCTGTCTCACTCACAGGACATCGGACAACTTAAGCGCAAACCATGTGACCGGACCTGAAAAAAACATTGGCCTTTAGCTGGGCTTTCGTTTGTCAGTTTTGTGGTGTGGATTTAGTGTGTGCAAACTCTGGTTGTTTTCAATTACACAAACAAATGTTTGTGGCTTCATTGACGTGCATTTGGGAAAGCAGTTAGGCTATGCTATGCCTATGCATTCACATTGCTGAGTGCCAGCCCTTTAGGTTTACAATTAGTTCTGAATATATTAGAAATAGTTCTGAGCTGCCAGGGCCTTGAAACAGTTAAAGAGGCCCTGGCCCACAGTAAATTGTTTCTGCATTCTGCGAATGGGAATACACAGCCTGCCAAACACACATGCATATCAACACAATGTCTGTAGCGATAGCCCATACAAGGCGTATCTTCGGTGTCAATGTATCCGCCATATGCATCCTTGACAAAGCTTGATAGGGTGGACAAGGAAATGTACTGAACCCATACTCCATGTATGAGCTAAGTCTCTTTTGAGCCCACTTCAAAGCGCTCTGTAAATTATCACCTCGTATACCAGGAAATCGATGTCCTCCATGAGAATTCATCGGGATCCGTACATCCTCTAATTTCAGAGGAAATGAATCTGCTTTGAAGAAGCGAACCTTGAAGATACTATAGCAACAGCTTCTAGCAATACATCATTATGTATTGGACAGTTGAAGTCGTCTGTAACTCCAGAACGTTCACCAGAAATCGAAGCAGATCGACGCAAGTCAACATTCCAAGATGCTCTCGTCCTCGTAGCACATATCTCTTCAATGAAAATTGGATCAAACAAATTCTCTGCAATCATAGCTTCTTTGGCTATGCAATCGTAATACACGACTCCAGGATGACGATGATGTCGATCATGTTCATAAGGTTGCCTGTTAGGAAACCTCCTGTAAACCTCGAAGTTGTCAAGTCCACAACGTAGCAATGTCACATCTGGATATCTGCATTGTTCGAAGGCATCCAACACTCCATCAAGACAACGGAGAAATGTTCTACATGGCATTGTCATTCGATCAAACATATTGCTTGAGCCAAAATGGCTACGGGAGCGCAGTCGCGACAAGCACCCGCCGCGGCCCACCAGATTTTGCGAGCCTGCGCAGTCGAAATGCACTTCGAGGATTTCGAGAGGCATGAATGTACTGTAAATAACAGCGAATGCCGGACGCCCCGGTGCAACATCTCAATTAGACACCGGTGCTTAACCATTGCCGTAAGAACCCCCTGTTTGACCACACTGTTTGGGGAAAAATAGTAGAAAAGCAGGTCAAGGAGAGTGATTTCATATGGTATCCCCAAGGCCCGTGCGGTATAAATCCGCTTCAATCAAACAAGAAACACAACAACAACAACAACAACAACAACAACAACAGCAACAACAACAACAACAACCACAACGACAACGACAACGACAACAACAACAACAACAAGCCTTAACAAATTGTATCAAATTGTAAACCATACCATTTAGATCATTAGATCCATTTACTGTAGATCCATTTAGAGTTGCTGGTAGACATTGGTAGACTTTATGTTATAGTTGGAGTACCCTGAAATTGTGCAACCATGGGTAACAAATGTTGATATGCAATACATGAAAACTTTAGGGCCCGAAACCTGACTGCCACCCATGACACTTGAAGAGCGAAATAGACGCAATTTGCTCACACCATCTTACACCTGGCTTTCTATCCAGTCTTCTTGTCCCCATGACTGCCATCGAAAGAGGCCTTCCACCCAACCCATCGCCACATCAAAAAACCGTGTCGCCAGCCCGCCTTCCGAGCACCTGGCGCTCGGAAAAAACGGTGGCCAGGGGAAGCACAGGTTCCCAGAAACTGGGAAAGACATACACCGTTGGTCAAGGAAAAGACGCTTGGTTCAGGGTTTTTTCAGGTCTTGGCTGCGACCCGTTGAATAGACTTAGATGCACCACTCACCACGGTCACCTTTTTCAGGCGTAGCTTGTGCTGAGAATGTCTTTCCACTTCAAAGCTGTGTTCCTTCAGTCGCGTAGCATCATGCTACATCCGCCGGCTCGTATTCAACGATGGCCTGGTGGACTTGGATCAAACAACAGTCAAATGCTGACACTGGCGTTTGGTCGTTGGACGAAAACCTGAGAGGGCTCGAAGAACATGAGCAACTCCAAAAGTATGTTCAAATCTCCAATGGTGTTCATAGGTGTGTCCCCTGAACTTACAAGCTGTCCATGTTATTTGCATACATGTTCACCTTCTTTCATACTTATATATTAATAGAAAAATAGATCTGACATCGTGACATCACAAAAACAAATGCCACATCTTGCACCCCCTTCTCACGATCTTGTGCCTCCTGCTGCTGCGGCGGCCTCATGGTGCGCTGCGACTGTGATAAGGAATACCAACACCCAGTTCCAAAACTAATGGCTTCGAGTCCCCACATCAGTGGATCACGACTCCTGGATACTCCTGACATTTGTGAGTGGTCAAACAGTAATGTTCGAAGCTAAGTTCACGTCGAAGTGGCGTCCTTCAATCTTTACGATGAGACTCCGCACTTTGGCCCTTCACTTGTCCTTCTTTGGGTCCTCACATCGTTTGCCCTTCACAGGTGCCTCAGAGTGCCTCAGGTGTGTCCTTCACACGGTTTCCACAATCTGGATGGTTCAATCAGTCCTGAAACCAACTGACCACATTGGCAGGGCGGCATATCTGGGGTCTATGCTTAGCTTGCTACTTAGTGAAGCTATCTATGCTGCAATCCCTGAAAGAATGGAGACCGTGGAGTGAAAACCGCCCTGTTTGGCATTCGGATTGGTTATCCGTGCCATCGGGGCCATACCAATGCACTTCCATGATTCTTCCGACTGTAGTTAAACCACCCTTTCCACAGACTCTCCGACTGCCTTTCTGCAACCCGACCTTCCCCGCTGTCGCTTTGCTGGACTTCACATCGCCTTTGGCCTCCAACGACCAGGGCCACGTGCGAAGGACGAACCCCGAAGGACGAGTGCTGCCATCCATGGACCCAGCAAAATCGACCGAGATCAATCGCCATTGCCCTGAGGAACAAACTAGAGAAGCATATTTTGGGCCCCGATGAACCACTGTTGACCACTCACAGGAGTGGTAACAACAAAACACAAAAAACACATTCTATAGTGGGTTTCTGCTGCATTATACAACATACTAGGATCATCCATGGGTGCATTTGTTCTGCCGTTTGAAAAAGCAACACACACGCTCACATTCAAATTTCAGTCGTTTGCTGTCAAACACGCTGTTTCTTTTCAGCGTGCTGTTGCACTGCTTTTGCAAGGGTTGCCAAAATAGCGGTCAGCAAAAGTCACCGTTTGGTCGGAAAAAGTCGCCGATTCCAAAGCTTGATTTGGCATTAAACACATTGGAACACAACAAGTCCTTCAAGGCAAACATAGTTTGTGTTTGCTTGAGAAAGTACTTTGACATAAACAGCAATTCAGCAAGGAACAACCTAGTTAGGAAGACCCAGGTTTGAGTATGCATGGGCCCTAGGGGATGCCATTTGCTTGTCTATCTTGTCCAAACGAACCTGGAACCGTCATGTTGCATAACACCTCATCAAACAAACGTAATGGCACAACATGGCAACTGCACGTTACAGTACACTGAAAACCTAAAATTATCACATAAACCCACCTAGTTCATCCTAGCTCTACATTGCTTGTTTGCCCCTCACATGTTGGATTACAACCCCAACGTCCTCCCTTGGCCTCCGCTGCTTTCGCTTTCTTCACCTGGCGAGCTTAAGCTCGCTTGACCGTGCTCCGCCGTCCGTTCGAATCGGCAGAGCACGAAATAGGTGGTTGTTACGTCACATGGGCCATGGAGCAGTGGAGCCCGCGATCTGGTGATGGACCGAACGGAGACCGGACATGGACCGGAGGAGTTGAAGATCTTTCCTTTGCAAAACCCAAAGAACATCTCGGATGGTGATGATGAAAAATGGAACTTGTTGTTTTCAGAATCACAGACTTAGACTTATTATATGTTTTAGTTATTTTTTAATACATCCACCAAAGGTGACCGCTTTCTCACTCCATCTAGACCGGCCAGCGGCCAGCGGCTTCCGCCTCCGCCTTGACGGCCTTGGCTTTCGCGTCGGCCTGCCGGGCGAGCTTGGCGGCCTGGGAACAGCGTTCGCATGGTGAGTGTGGACGGTGGTCAGAGGAGCTGGGAAAAGCAGCTCCAAGTTCGGTGAATCAAAACAGGAACCCCACGAATGATTCCACCCCCTGTCTATATAGAGGACCTCTTAGGGGGCAAACGTGCCATCGAACCTCTGAAACCACAGACAAATATACACGAAAATGCCTCCTGTGGCGTCTTTGGGTGGAGGGCGGAGGGCTTTGAAGATGCATTTGTCTTGCCCGCAGAGCAACGTTAAACATTTGGACCCGCAACAACCAAGAAAGGACCTGGCTTCTTTCTTTCTTGGCGAAGGCCTGGATACTTTAGTACTTTAGTGTACATTGTCGCAAGGCAAAAATCATGCAAGCAAGATCAGAGAAGCACAGCCTGAAAAAATTGGAGCTTAATGGAAGACTGGCTAGAGAGAAGTGCACTTCACACCGACACCAAACACCCAACAACCGATCAACAAACAAATGTCCGCTCAACTTGGAAATCAATCAATCCATGGTGGACTACCAGGAAAGTCTCATCCACAAAGCTCCAGGCAATTTACGAATTACTCAGCAAACAAGTCTAGTGTTCAAACATAGTGGAACTGGAACAGGTACGGCAGGGCAATAACTATGTCTCATCCTATCCACCCATCTTGACTGTTGACGATCAACAAGTGTCCGGCCGGCCCCCCTCTTGTGGAGATTTCAAGCCTGCCTGCCGCGCCGAAAGAAAAACTTTCAAGGGAGGAACCTTCATCGAGGGTCAATATGATTCATGTGATGTGGATCCCACTGAGAATGTTTCAGGTGAGCTCTCCACCGCACGTGGACCAATATGGATCAACACCCCACGCCCCACCATCACCATCGGCCTCTTTCGCCTCCTTGGCCTCTTTCGCCTCTTTGGCCTTCTCTTCTGCCTGAAGAACCAACGGCATGGCGTCCGGCGTCCTGTGAAAGGACATGGAACCGCAAAAGGGCTATTTGGTGCTTGTTCATTTGCTCAAAAGAAGGTTGTCCACACGAAACAGCACGTTTTTTCATAGTTTAGTTTAGTTTGTTTTTTCCAAAGGGGCCTAGTGAAAGAAGGGCCTAAAAGTAGATATGAAACACTGGGTGACCATTTCAGCATCCGCCCTATTCTTTACATTGGTAAGCGCCGTTGTTGCTTCTCAGCTATGGCTTTGCTACAAACCAAGACTGTACCCATGATCCTGGATGAGCATTTCCACTATATAGCCTCCTCCAAGCTTGTTGCTCTTCCTTTTCGACTTTCCCACACACTCCAAAAAGGGCTGTCCTGGTGTGGTTTTCTAGGCTTGACTGTGACTTCTGGCGATTTGTTTACGTTAAAACACCGGACCGGTGCCTTGGCTTTTGCTTCGTCAGCCTTGGCCTTCTCAAGCTCCGTTGGAGCCCACAAGTCATGGGGGGTAAAACAAAACGGATTTGGTAACTAGGGATGCCGTGCATTTTTGTGTGAAGCATACGCGAAGCGCGGTACGAGAAAACATGAGAACACCTTCAAAAGATGCAATTAGAACGATACTGGTCCAGAAACAATGGACATGTTACATGATGCCCTCATTGTTTGGGACACCCCGTCCCCATTTCCATAATACTATTAAGAGTCTCCCATGACAACTGATACTTCTCCAAAATACAACCAGAACTTAGTTTTGGCAACCCAGCACAGGCCCTGTTTAATCTATCTTAGCCTGTCGCCATTACAAGCGCAGCTCATACTGGGTCAAAATAGAAAGGCCCATGCCCAAGTCATCATGGATTCTGAGGCAAGGTTGGGGTTTTATTCTTGGTGTATTTTGGTTCCTATGATGGTTATGATTGTGACACCTTCCCATCAGGCCACACCATCCGATTCGTATGACAGCGCAGAGTCCAGCTCAGATGAATCTGATTCAGATCGATCAGAGTACGAGTATGATGCTGACGACAGCTTTGAGTCTAGCTCTGAGTCTGAATCTATCAATGGTGAGGAGAGTGCAGTAAGAGCGAGTCAAGAGTTGAAATGGAAATGTGCTCCCAAAGCATCCTTGACAGCATCCTTGACAAAGCATCCTTGTCTGGCCAATGGGATGCAAGAGCCTTCACGGGATGCATCAAGGTTTTCAGGATTTGGACGGTATTGTGATGTATTGTGAATTGTGCAAATGGAACTCCAGGATAATTCATGCTTTGCGGATCGTTTTGAGGCATAACTATGAGACTATGTCAACGCTTCCTGTTCTTTGGAAGCACAAATCCTTTTTGCTCTAATCCGCATGAGAGCTACGGCGCATGATTAAAAAACAAAAACAAAGTAGTTCGCAATGATACTGAAGCAGTTCGGCTCCGTTTGCGTGTTGTTGCCTTTTCTTAAGTGGGCAAAGCGACCCGACCAAGCCACCCACCTTGGCTTTCTCAGCTTTGGCCCTGCGGCAGAGCCAACGAATGGCGCCTAAATCAACAAACAACATGAGGAAATGGCACCTCTCTTTCGCTCCATGTGGGCTGACAAAAAATGGTGTAAACCACCGTGGTGCTTGAACCTTTTTGTTGGGAGGCACAAAGAAGAATCTTTGCACACATGGGACGATGGGACGAGTCGATTCGTGCTCCTTCTGTGGAGCAAAGGATCTGGTTTTCTCTTTGGTTCACCCACTGGCACGGGCACCAAACCCTTCGACTGCGAAGGAAAGGTTGACTGATTGCCTCGAATTCTGCAACGGTGACCGCATGGGTGGATGAAACGCGCACACAAAGATCGTCACTTGGTGTCACCCTGGTAGGTTTTCTCAAAATCATCACCTTTTCGTGCCATTTCAAATCATTTACATCATCAGCAAATGAAAGCACAACAAACACCAGGATTTTTCCAGATTGTCTGATGAGAGAGCATGACGACTTCCCTTCTTTTTTCGGTTCTATTGGCAGTTCAGGCTCTTCAGTTCTGTGACTCAACTGCTCACTGAAGCAGGTATCGAAGCAACTGGGGGTCTGAGTAAATGTTCCAACCAACCATCAACTGCTTCTTGAGCTTTGTATCATCTGCACACCGGCATCCCTGGCCACTGGCGGTTCCAATCTATATATGTCCATCCTAAGTAGCCATACAGGGCCATGCACCCACTCACGAATACAGTGAGCACCAGCCAAAACCACTCTTTATGGGCGTGGGCAGTGGGCAGCACCCAAGAAAGAACACAGTGTCCCTCCCCTTCATTCCATCCCTTTGACTCCATCTGGTGCGCCTCTCTTCGAGCACGATTTTGGCTTCTACCTGCTCACACAGAGACGAATGAACGGATGGAAGGTCCACCATTCTTTCGACTTCCTGAACGCCCCCAGCTCAAAAAGAAGAAGCACAAAACATCGTGACAAACGGCCCGGTCCACTTGCCCGGTCAGAAACGTGTCCCAGCAGGTGGTGGTGAGAAGTCTCTCAGCAGTCGGTGAGGGTTCGAGATTTGCCAAATTCTCTTGGTCTCAAGTCTCAAGGATTGATATTTACAGTGGTTTTCTGAGGTTCGATGGCACGTTTGCCCCCAGATGTCCTTTATACAGCTGCATATAAATCACCGAACTTGGACATGTGTGCCATCTACTCTGAAACCACGGTATACACCCTGGTTCCGAGACCCACATCGAACCTGACAACCCAAGTCGGGTTGTAGAGGAAAATCGTTTTCCAGTCTGGCCATGCCAAGCCCGGTTCCATGTAGCTCTCTTCGCGGGTCTGCTTCAGCTCCTCGCCTGCAACCGCTGCTGCAGCTCTGCTCGCGCCTTCCGCTCGCACTCCGCCCGCCGTCCGGGCAGGGCGAGCACCGCGACGTTTTGGCCCAAGGAGGCCTTAGAACAAGTGGCTCCAGGCCAGGTGGGGCTACTGGATAGAAGATAGAAGCATGAAACAATATGAAACACAACGGTTTGCCCTGTGCAAAATCAGGAACTTGACTTTCTTTTGTCTGGGGTGCCCTCCCCAGAAACAGTCAATCGGTCAATCATGTGCTGGATCTCAAATCCAGGAAACGGGTAGACCGGGTAGACCTCATAGTCCCAAACGAAATATGTGTGGCCCTAAAGTTCGACCTATATATGTATATACATGGATTTGAGGCTCTCAGACTCTCAGTCATGAGTCATGAGTGATATGAGATGAGTAATCAAAGCATCTGAGACCTTACTTGGCCATCCAAAAAAGGAGAGTAATTGTGGGAAGAACCTTCAAATCTCTTCAATCTGGAGGCATTTGCAAGATCTTCAGGAGGTACACAAAGCTTTTGCTTCCCCCCCACCTAGCATGAGTCATCACAAGTCGTCCCTGGATGCACAAGTCGCTTCAGTTGATCCAGCGTAACCTGGTTCGGTGCAGCCTCCAGGCCTACCACGCAGTCTGCAAGGGCCATGCGAGCCCTTCCGTGAGCGGCCACTGCTACGGGCTGTTACAGCGGTGGATGGCAGAGCTCCACTTGCCACTGCTGCCGGCATCACCGGCCAGAAACTTCACAGCAATCCCTGAGGATGCCTGGTGATGAGGTCAGAACACCCCGGCATATGCATGATCCTAGACCATCCGACCATCCATGAGACAGGAATAGTTACTGTAGCTTCACCCCAACTCCAGTGAGTGACTATTCACCGTCTCATCGGATGGTTCTGTCCCCACCTTCTCATCTGACTCGCTTGAACCTCATCCTTCGAATCTCTCTCCGTGCTCTCGTCGCTCTGGCAGGGCGTCACCGAGCTGATGTGTTCGCTGCGTTCGTTTGAGCGGAAAACTCGAAAAACTTGGATTGAGACGAACGAAGATTCCCAGGTAAGTCTCCCTATTCACCTGGGAAGTCTTCTATTCTTAGAATAGGGAGACCTTCAAGAGGTGAAAAACAAAACGGGAAGAGGGGAACAACAAGACCACAACCCGGTTGGGACGTCCCCCTATTCTTTCTTTGTCACACCCATCTCTTGTGTCACAACCCGGTTGGTGTCTGGGACCTGGGGCACAGCCCCAGATCAAGCGAAGGACCTTCTTCTTGCGGAAGAACCCAAAAAAGGTTGGCGCCCGACTGCACCAAATCATTCTCGAAGTGTGAATGTTCTGCCAGGATCTTGAAAGTATATTAAAGTATGGTGGATTCGATGTAGTTCTGGTGTGCAGTTGCCTACCTGTAGTTCTGCAGAGCTCTTCACAGCTCTTCACCGACTCTGGGACCTGGGATGCCTTTGGCAACATAAATACGGCCAGTCTCAAGTTCATACATGCTAACCTGGCCATCTGGGATACTCCAGGCTGGAACCTGATCATGCTGATTGCACTGAAGCACTGAAGGAAAAGCGAATCCTCCATCGTCTTGTTTGGCCGGCTCCGTCCTTTCACTAGGCTCCGTCCTAAAAGTCATGCTTGTCAGTTCACCATTGGCCCATTGGCCTGAACCTGAAGCTGGCAATTTTGTGAATTTTTTGTAACACCTCCCAGCGAAATCCATGTCTCTTGCAGGTAGTTTCCTCAACCACTGGTCCATGAGCCTGAAAACAGCTGGTCCATGAGCCATGATGTGCACGCGCAGGCCACATGCAACGGCCGCACCCATCCACTCACGCGCATCGGCCCCCGGACTGAAGTTGCAAAGGCTGGAGTTTGTATCTGCGTCGTCCAGACGAGCTCCCGACCGCGAAAACCGCTGCGGAAAAAGGACCACCGACCACTGGTGACTTGGTCCTATAGACGTGTGATTGTCGTGACAGCAACTTCCTTTAGGCTCCGAACATGTTGTGAACCTTGTCTTGGAGTCTCAAATGACCTTCCTACTTCCCTATGAGTGGCCTGTATTCAACCAAGATATCATGTTTTGTCATGAACTCAACCAAGGAAAGACGGAACAACAAATTACAGAGTATATATATATATATGTTACGATTGTTTTTGACTTGTTAATGTTCAGTAGGCTAAAAACCAGTGACTCTGCCAACCAATCAGTAGGAATGCCTGTTGCGGACGTGGCTGATAGCGATGTAGCACATTCATCATTGCTCTTCAAGACTCTTCCCTTTCAATGAATCCAGGAATCCTCCCGTGGTATACGCTGGTCCAGGAATCACCCTCATACTGGTAAAGCACCCAGCTCATGCTTCTCCGATGCGTGTTCTAGCCACAGGTCACCCAGTCTGCAGACTCCTCATGTTGCCGAATGCTAAGTCCAAGGTCTTGCTTCAAATCCTAACCGCAAAATCCCCTGTCAGATTATGTCAGATTCTGGTCCTTGGAACCACGCATGGTCGGGAAAGCCTCCGCAAAACGTCCCTGTCAGAACTCTCCTCAAGTGGGTCCCATACCAAGAAGTGGATGGGTTTCGAGAGGTGTTCTTCGGAAAAAAGGCACCGACCAAGGCCGATCGTTGAGCGAAAAGGCCGAGAAGAGACACGAAGATATGTTGGTGTTACGAAACAGAAACCGCTTGGAGGGACGGGAGGTTGATCTCAGTCCGACATGTTTTGACCACCAACAAAAGCATTATAAAACAAAAACACAACATATTATAAAGGTGCTTTGGGACAAATTGCAATAGAAGAAAGTAAGGTCTAAGCGGTCTAAGGTTCAATAATTTAGTTTATCTGAGGATGTTTGGATGAGTTTGGCGTTGTCAGCATTTTCTGTATCTATAGGTCGACGAGCGTCGCGTTGTTGCAGCTCACGGGTTCGTGTCCAGTGTCGAGTCACGTCAAAGCCGGTGACTGAGTTCACCGAGCGCGGTCCCTTCTGAGGGCACCGACGCGAGCCGGCACCACATGTGGCACCCTGCGATGCAGTTCGGTCTGCCCGAACTCGACCTTTCTTTTCTCAGACCCAGACCCAGACACTCGAAACAATACTCTTCAGTCTTCGTTGTTTTTCAAGTGAGAAAGTGGGGGGATTCGAGCAAAGTCCCTGTATCCTCCACATGTTGATGGTGACAGCCAGGTGGTTGTTTCAGGAGCCGAGTCGCGTTGTGGTTTGGGGAGTCTGGCGTCGACGTCCTTGGGTGGGTTAATGGATTCTGAACCATGCATCATCATCATCATCATGATGCTGCTTCTCAATCCATGATGCACCAGCAGCTTTGAACTCGTAATTCATGCCGCGACAAGTCTGTACTTGATGTGACCGGCTGGAACCCAGTGCAAACAATCTGTCCAGCTTGCTGAGTCATGCTGAGTCAATGTACGAACCATCTTCCAATCCCGAGAACTCTGGATTTCAGGGATTCCGCACAGGGACCACATGAAAACCGTCGGAGACCCATTTTCTAAGGGTCCGACCAAGGCAATGCACCGGGACACCAACTTTGGAAGTTGGACACCATGGTAGCTGAAATATCTGCATGTATACCAGTATCTGACGTGTATGCAATTATTTTTTTGTCCAATACCTTGGGCGATTACTGTTCGTTTATTTTCCTGTGTTTTTCATGGGTAACGTTCATGTTCAAAAAGCAAGCAGCAGGGGCCGTACATTGGCTTCCAACATGTGAAATGCACAACCTGATTTCTTCGACACTCCGACACTCCTCGGGCTGTGCAATGCACGGTTGCGTGTTCAGGTTCGGTACCGCCTGGCTTGCGGGACGTTGGGAAAATGCTTCTCCTCTTCCTGGCGAGCTCGGGTCGGAGCTGGTGGAGCTGGTGGAGCCCAGCTCCAGAACCCAAAGCCTCCGGCGTCCAATGGACTAGTCTACTTAGGCAACCAGAGGCAACCAGCCAGCGTCACTTGAAACTTTTTTGGATGTCCACTGTCCACCTGAGGGTTGCTCATTGGGGAGTGGGCCAGCAGCAAAAACGGTCTGGCGTGGCTGGGAAGGCTGAGGAACACATTGGGGAGCTTCTTGAACCTGTGCGATTACCCAATTTTAACGCTGTCTGGGTGGGATTACAAAAAATCAGCCCATGCAAAACAAAGCCAAACTTGCAACTTGCAGCCATGATACACAATACAACAAACAACAGGGCTCTAAATCCCACCACCACCCAAGAGGCCTTGCAACGGTGCGCCAGGTCGAGATTCCAGTGGTGAGCCCTCGAGGTGGTGAAACCGGTGAGACCTAGGCTTGTCAATGCAAATGTTTTTTTGATAACCATGAACCAACTGGGTGTAATCTATACTGATACTTATACTGATCTATTGACATTCCCTCTGATGTTGAATGGACAACTTCATATATTCAAAAAAAACACAACAAAATGACAAAACATAGAATACGCTAGAATGTCCATGGATTTCCCAGGTTTGCCTCCCCTCGCCCACCTCCCGTCTCGCGCCTTCAAGCGTGCTTGCAGCTCGGCCCGTGCACGGCGCTCAGCTTCCAGGCGCGTCTGGAGGGGATGGCCAAAACGGTCACTGGTCGCTTAACATGAACTTGATCGATTGACCCCCAAGAAAACAGGCATCCATCCCTGAAGCATTGGAAAAACAAATTGCCTATCCTGGATCCTCACACAATCTGTTTACTGTACTCCAAACGGAAGAAGCAACTGTCAGCCAAATCATGCAAAATTATCATTCCACACCCATGTTTTTGTTGTTCCCAGCAACAAAGAGCTGATCATCCTGGATTTGCGAAACAACTATGATCCTCAACCAAACAAACAGGATTTGCATCATGATTGGGGGGTACGTGAGTTCACAACGGTTTCTCGGAACATGATCCTTCTCATATTCTGACGCAGTCTACCAAACCCGCTCTGACACCATCTTCTTCTCATCCTGTGCCTGACCCACTCCGTTTGTTTTTTTCCTGGTCATGCCCTTGCGACGACCAATATAGCATGAACTTCCCGTGGATTCTTGATTTAAGAACCTGCATGTGCCGCCACGATGCTACCGCAAACAGCACTGCCTGTTGGCTGATCGAGCTTGGCGCGACCGCCAGAGGTGCCTGGCAGCAGAGAAGACTCACGCTATGCCAGGTGGCGGTTAGTTTACTGTGAAGAGAGGTGTTCAAAGATCAAAACTGTTTTAGATGCTGAACCCCTGGTGCTTCATGGTTTTGGATGGTCTTGGTGGCGATTCATAAACCCCGCTCGCAATACGCAACACTCAAAATGGTTCCCAAAAAGGCGGTGCGGATACAACAGGTGGTTTGCCAAAAATATCTATATAAAGTCCGCTTTGGGACTTGAGATGATGTGAGGGTTCTGAGGGTGATTTCCTAAGCAGTGTGGACACACTAGGGGTTCTTACGGTAATGGAAAAGCAGCTGTGCTTTGATCGCTGTTCCGCGCGGCCGTGTCCGACTAATTCGTTGCTATTTACAGTACATTCATGCCTCTCGACATCGTCAATGTGCATTTCGACTGCGCAGGCTCGCAAAGTCTGGGCGCCCCCGGGCGTGTGCTTCTAACGACTGTGCTCTCGTTGTGGTGGCGTGTGCCTTTTCGCACATGGTGGTCACTTTTCGTAGCAGGCGCAAGGAAAACCTCGTGCTTTGGTGCTTCAAAGTCGACTTTTCGCGACAGCAGGTGCCAGGGATCGGCGCTGTTTTACTTCGAAGTGCAATTTTCGTGGCAGGCGCAGCAGTTTGGGCATGGTGGTGATCGTCGAGGAGCTCAGATTTCGTGACAGGTGCAGTGAATCGTGACTTTTGGACATGTGGCTCGTTTGCAGATTTCGTGGCAGGCACAGCACTTGGTGAACCTCGAAGTGCAGATTTCGTGGCAGGCGCAGCACTTAGTGAACCTCGAAGTGTAGATTTCCTGGCAGGTGCAGCACTTGGTGAACCTCGAGCCTCGAAACGCAGATTTCGTGGCAGGCACAGCAGTTATAGTGAACCTCGAAGTGTAGATTTCCTGGCAGGTGCAGCACTTGGTGAACCTCGAAGTGCAGATTGCGTGGCAGGCACAGCGCTTGGTGCAGAACCTCGAGGTGCAGATTTCGTGGCAGGCACAGCACTTTGTGAACCTCGAAGTGCA